AGCCCCAGCTGTCCTGGAACTCACTATGTAGACCAGCCTGGCCTTGAACTCGCAGAAAACCACCTGCCTCTGCCTCCCAAGTGCTGGGACTACAGGCGTATGCCACCACACCTGGCCAATTGAGGTCATATTTTAAAGTGACCACAAGACCCTGAAGGCCACCAGCTTTATCTGCGTTTTATCTGCATTTTAAGAATTATTTAAAATTTTTTATTTATTTACTTATGTGTGTGTGTGTGTGTGTGTGTGTGTGTGTGTGTGTGTGTATGAGTATGCAAGTGCTCACAGAAGCCAGAAGAGGTCATTGGATCACCTGGAGCTGGAGTTAGAGGCAGTTGTGAGCAGTTGGGTGCTGGGAACTGAACTCAGTCCTCTGAAAGAGAAGTAAGTACTCTTAACCACTGAGCCATCTCTCTGGCCCTTAGTTTGCCAACACCATACCCTCCGTCTTCAGAATGTCTAGTGACTTGGAGGAAGTGGAACTTAAAAACAACTGTACAGCCAAGCAGCGTTCTCGGTGGGTTCTCAGTCCAGCTGAAATCAGACTGTCAAGGTTGCCAGTGGGAGAGCCCCCAGGATGGAGCCCGATGCCCAGGGGAAGCCAGATGCCCAGGCCCTGCTGGAAGCCATTGCTGCAGGTGACCTAGGGGCCCAAAGGTGGTGCACTGGCCACCAGGGGCCAACCAGGACACCAGTGTCTGCGTATCCTAGACAATAAAGGGTCCTCTAAGAAGCCAGGCAGGTGCCTCTGTGAGCCTGTCAGCAGTCCACCCATCTATTGCCAATGTCCCTATAAATCAGACCACAGTCACCCATTCTGGGCCCAGAATGTTGTTCTCTCCTGTGACCCTGAACTGTGTTCTTGGTTTCCAGGGGTATCTGTTTCCAGGGACAGTGTCCTGTGTGAAGCAGAGGAGGGGAATGGGGTTACTGAAGGCCCCGTGAACCAGGTACAAAGAGAGTGCTCAGAGATCGTGAGGGACAGTCCCCACAACCTGGGCTGCAGTCAGCAGTCATCCATCCAGGGACCCATGCTTCTGTTTGCCCAGGGGCAAGCCCAGGTCCTGATGGCTTTGACTGCCCTCTCCTTCCTCAGCTCCCTTGGGACCTCTCCCTCCTGTCCACTTCCCCTCTCCCTCCTGTCCACTTCCCCTCTCCGTCCTGTCCACTACCCCTCTCCGTCCTGTCCACTACCCCTCTCCGTCCTGTCCACTACCCCTCTCCGTCCTGTCCACTACCCCTCTCCGTCCTGTCCACTACCCCTCTCCGTCCTGTCCACTACCCCTCTCCGTCCTGTCCACTACCCCTCTCCGTCCTGTCCACTACCCCTCTCCGTCCTGTCCACTACCCCTCTCCGTCCTGTCCACTACCCCTCTCCGTCCTGTCCACTACCCCTCTCCGTCCTGTCCACTACCCCTCTCCGTCCTGTCCACTACCCCTCTCCGTCCTGTCCACTACCCCTCTCCGTCCTGTCCACTACCCCTCTCCGTCCTGTCCACTACCCCTCTCCGTCCTGTCCACTACCCCTCTCCGTCCTGTCCACTACCCCTCTCCGTCCTGTCCACTACCCCTCTCCGTCCTGTCCACTACCCCTCTCCGTCCTGTCCACTACCCCTCTCCGTCCTGTCCACTACCCCTCTCCGTCCTGTCCACTACCCCTCTCCGTCCTGTCCACTACCCCTCTCCGTCCTGTCCACTACCCCTCTCCGTCCTGTCCACTACCCCTCTCCGTCCTGTCCACTACCCCTCTCCGTCCTGTCCACTACCCCTCTCCGTCCTGTCCACTACCCCTCTCCGTCCTGTCCACTACCCCTCTCCGTCCTGTCCACTTCCCCTCTCCGTCCTGTCCACTTCCCCCTCCGTCCTGTCCACTTCCCCCTCCCTCCTGTCTAGTTCTTTGCACCATGTTGTGCTCCAGGCCTCTGTCCTCCTTGCTGGTCTACCACAGCCTCCTTAGCTGCTTTCCCAGAGCACCCCCTCCAGCAGCTCCCCCTCCATGCAGCACCCCCTCCAGCAGCACCCCTCCATGCAGCACCCCTCCATGCAGCACCCCCTCCATGCAGCACCCCATGCGCCCCCCCTCCAGCCCCCCCCCCCCCCGCAGCCCCCCCTCCAGCAGCCCCCCCTCCATGCAGCACCCCCTCCATGCAGCACCCCCTCCATGCAGCACTCCCTCCAGCAGCACCCCTCCATGCAGCACCCCGTCCATGCAGCACCCCCTCCAGCAGTGTTTTCTCAACACCCCAGCAGAGTGGCTTTTCAAAATGTAACTGAACACATTCACCCTTCCCCAAACCTTGAGAAGCTTCCGCTGCTTCCAGATCAAGATAATGTCATGTCTGTGTGAGCTGGGGGCACCACCTTGTCTTACTGAACCGTTTTTTTTTCTCAAAGAATAGGGATCCTAGCAAAATGTGGCCAGACAGTAGTCACTCAGCATTTGGGGTGTACTGCGCATTCCCAAGTGGGACATCTGCTAAGTCTCTTGCCCGCTCCTCCAATGTCTGTAAGCTCTGGATTTTAAACACTAGATCCCGGAGGGGAAGGCCGAGGCTGGAGAGCAGCAGAAACTCACTAAAGGAAGGCTGGGAGCCAGGCCTGGTCCCGCAGGCTGGGCATCCCAGTACTTAGGAGGTGAGGCAGGAGGCTTGAAAGCTCCAAGTCAGCCTGGGTTACAGGGAAAGACCTTGCCTCAAAATACAAAGCAAAAAGAAGGCCGGGGTTACAACGCATTCGCGGCGCAGTTGCCAAGGTGTGTGGGTCCCTGGCTTTAATTCCCAGTACAAGGAATGCGGTGTGTGTGTGTGTGTGTGTGTGTGTGTGTGTGTGTGTGTGTGTGTGTAGCCCAAGCTGGGGTTGTATAAAACTTAAAGTCCCCACCTCTGAGAACAGTTGTGCTCAAGGTCCCCAACCTTTCCAGGGAAGCAGAGAGCTCAGTGAATTGGCTGCCTAGCTACCCTGGAGAGTTCCTCAGAGCAAAGGGTTTTCCAGGAGGTTCAGCCATTGGCCAAGGTGCTGACTGTGGGGCTGCTTTGATCTCTGTAAAGGGTCCTCACTTCTGGTGCTGCCCCAGAGGGTGCCTCTCTCTGCTTGCAATATCAATTGGTGTGATTTCAGCTTAACGAATTCCAGGCGAGGGGAGGGGCTGCTGTGGAGAGTGGGCAAGCTTTCACTAGCAGACTGGAGTTGATGCTGGTGACTAACATTTAAGATTTCTTGTTCTAAAAAATATTTTGTTATTTTTATTTTACGTGTATGAGTGTACTGCCTGCGTGTACGTGAGTGCACCCGTGTCGTGCAGCGCAGCGGCGGTCACAAGAGGGCTTCGGATTCCCCTGGAACTGGAGTTAAGGACGGTTCGTAGCCACCATGTGGGTGCTGGGAATCGAACCCGGGTCCTCTGCAAGAGTTGTCAGTGCTCTTAACTGCTGAGCCATCTCTCCAGCCCTTAAGATTTCTTTTTAAATGATGGTGAGTCAGCGCCATGGTAACACTGAACTTTCACCCCATTTCAGCTTGCTAGATGCAAGGGGAAAAATAAATCCAATGGGCCGGTGAGAAGGCTCAGCCAGTGCTCGCTGCAGAGGCTGACAACCTGTTTGGTCCCCGGGACCCACATGGTGGATGGAGAGACTTGACTTCCACAAGTTGTGCTGTTGACTGCCACATCACACACATACAATAAATAAGTGCAATTTAAAAAGTCCAAGACATCAAAAACCAAAAAGGGCTGAGGAGATGGTCCAGTCAGCAAAGTGCTTACTTTACAAGCTGAATCTGAGCCCAGAACCCATGTTAAACAGTCAGGAAGGTGGGGGGCACGCTTGTAACCCCAAAGCAGGGGAAGCAAAGTCAGGAGGATCCTGGGGCTTGCTGACCAGTCAACCTCACCTACCCTGTAGGCTGTGGTCCTAGTGAGAGACCCTGTCTTAAAAAAAATGAGGTGTGTGTTGGTGGATGGGTGGAGGCTGAAGAGATGGCTCAGTGGTTAAGAGCATCTGTTGCTTTTCCAGAGGACCCAAGTTTGGTTCTCAGCACTCATGCAGGGTGGCTTACAACTCTAGGTCCAGGGATCCAGTGCCTCTGACCTCTGTGGGCACCTGCACTCATGTGCACATACCCCTCATAGATACCCAAATATATACATAATTTTAAATATCTTAATAAAAAAAAACCAAGGTGGACAGCTCCTGAGGAGTAACACCCGAGGCTGTCTTCTGTCTCCACACGTGTGCAAGTGGATACACACACACACACACACACACACACACGCACACAAAGAGCATCACCATGGTTCTGGCTTCTGGCTCTGATTAGCTGAGTCTTTTAAAAAATATTTTACAGCTGGTGTGGTTGTGCATGCCTTTAATCCCAGCATTTGGGAGGCAAAGGCAGGCAGATCTCTGTGAGTTCAAGGCCAGCCTGGTCTACATAGTGAGTTCTAGGCCAGCTGGGGCTACAGGGAGATCCCGTCTCAAAAAGACCAAAAAAAATTTGTTTTTACTTATTATTTTTATTTCAAGTGTATGAGTGTAAAGTCTGCATGTAGGTAGGTGCGCCCATGTTGCAGGTGCAGCACATGCAAGGTCTGGGGGGGGTGTGGAGGAAGAAGCAAAGCCATGTGCGGATGGAAGGTACCATGGGTGTTAAACTGTTTTTATTTATTTACTTTTTTTTGAGATAGCGTCTCACTATGTAGCACTAGCTGGCTTGGAACTCGCTATGTAGACCAGGCTGGTCTCCATCTTGCAGAGATCTGCCTGCCTCTGCCTCCTGAGTGCTGGGATTAAAGGCACACACCACTACCTGGAGCAAAAACAGACTTTCTTGCAGGCTCTGGGGTGCACTGTGAATCTGGAGGTCGGGGTATCCATGCAGGGCAAAGGCCTTTATTGGAATCTAGGGTGTCATCCAGATTTCCTGTGGCTAAGACCAAGTGCAACCAACTTTCCTGAGGAAGTCTGACTGGGTTAAGTTTGAGCAAGCATGTTGTTCCAGGAGGTCACGCATGACAGTGAGGCGGTAGCTGTGGCATATCTGCTCTGTGTGGTGTGATGTGGGGGTCTGTGGGGCCTCCAAGTAGGCTGCGTGCTGCAGTCCCAGGGGAGGTGGTGACCAGGAGGAAGGACCGGCCACCACGCGGAGGCGCTGTCCATGGTGACAACCTGCTCCAGGCCAACTTCCCTTCGCCACGCAGGAAAGTGAGGCAACTTTAAGACTTCACCCCGAAGGCCGAACCCTGCTGCCCGCTCCAGCCCTGTCACCTTGCCCAGCAGTGTCCCTGCTTGGACTTCATCCTCATGTCTGTAAAGGACGGGTCTCATGGTAACAGGTTCAAGTGGAAGAAGCCTTTAAGGCAAAGCAGCTCGGGGCCGAGTCGTCCAGGGTCCGTCCGGGGTCGCCCAGGAGGCCGCTGCACTGAGTCCCGGCTCGGTGGGCGGGAAGCTCAAGCTAAGCATTTTCTTTTCCAAGCGGAAGTGGTCCCCTAATCCTGTGCTGGGAACATGCAGGAAAAAGGAGCGAGCCCGGAGAGGAACACGTGGAGCGACTACGCTCCCGGCGCAGGAAGTATCATACGTGCTCATTCACATCCTACGAATTCCTATTCCAGAACACCGAAGCAAGTCACATATAACCGCTATCACAGTGACACTGTCCGCATGACCTGCTTGCCCACGCGGGAACCGCACAATCATTGGTTTCTTTAGGAAGGCCCCACCGAGAGACCCCGGAACGTCCAGGACCCAGTCACGGCGGGAGGAGGTAGGACCCGTTGGGGGCGCACAAGCTACTTAAGCCCGTGTCACTACAAGTCCCAGCAGCCCTCGTGGCGGGGGACAGGACGCGGCGACCAGAGTCTGGATGGACTACAAATCCCGTCAGGCAAATCCCAAACGTGGAGACTACCAGTCCCAGAATGCCTCGCGCTGCCCACGCAGAGGACACTGGGAGTTGTAGTCATCGGGGCCTCACTAGCACCTATCCGCTCCACATCAGAGAGGACATACATTTCTTAGATTGCCCACGAAGGTGATGCTTAGCGCTCTAGCAGGAAGCGCAGACGTTCGGCCGAGCAGTGAGAGTCCTCGGAGCCCATGCCAGGCGAGAGGAAGAACCAAGACGCATGCTCCCCGGAGTCCGTCTGCGGAAGCGCGCGCCGAAGGCCCTCCGCGCAGGCTCCGCCCCTTCCCCGGCAGCCCCGCCCCTCATGCTCGCGCCCAAGGAGCCTGCGCTGAGGGCGGGACCCCGGCCGCTGGGAGGTGCCGGCGGCGCCTGCGCAGAGTGGCGGCTTCTCTCGCGAGGACGGACGCCATTATCGCATCTCCCCGACAAACACCACGAGAATTCCGCAGCCCACACGGTAATTGCAGCTCCCGCAGCCGGTCGCGCCTCCTCTCCCCCCTTCCCGCGGGGCGAGAGCGAGAGCGAGAGCGAGATCTCCGTCCGCCCCCGCCCCA